GTTGCGCAACATGTTGCGTGACGGTGGGCTAGGTCCTATTAACGGTAAAGGGCAAGGAACTGGGGAGGAGGAGAAGTTTATGCATCATGGATTTGGCGAATTTATTCTAAAACTGTTTCGCTTATTACAATTACTTGAAACTTTTAATACTGTTATTATGCAAGCTATTTTGTTAACATAACATAATATGTCTTTACCACAACTTTTCAAGCATAAATTTCTTGGCGTGACTTCTTTAACAATAACTGATCTTAACCTTACTTTTATAGCATTAAATTTAATATAAATTAATGAAATAGTATAAATGAAACTAAATCAAAAAGGAGTTATTTTATTTTTCTTTAAGCTGTCAAATAACTTGATCTATTTTTCTTATTGATATTCGAATAATAACAATAATATACTCTATTGTTTACAATTTTGAAGTCTAATATATATTTCTGGTTTTTCAAGTTAGTTTAATATCGGTTTTACACTCAACACCTTTTAAACTCAGACGTAAATGTTATGTTTGTGGACTAAATTTATAGCCCATTGTGTAAAGAACAAGGAAAATAAATTATTAAATTTTAATATAAAAAATTATATGTATCTACATGACAAAGAAAATATTTCTTTCTGAATGCTGACAGCATTTATGAACCCACGTAAAAATATTTAAAATAATTTAACAAACTTTTCTCCACATTTATGCTTCTTTTATATGGTTAATTTGAGATGATAAGAATGCTCCTCACTGAAATGAAATGTTGTCAATAACATTAAATGCTAAACTGAAGCTGTAGTGAGCAGCGTCAAAACACTCGTAAAAAAGGATAACAAATATAACATGACAAACATAAAAGCAACAAAATTAAATAACACAAAATAATCACAAAATTTCGAAAATGAACCAAAAATACAAGAAAAAATAAAAAACAACACAAATTGTTTGTTTTTAATACAAACGCTTGCGGCGACGTCTTTATATATGCAAATCGACATTTGAGCGCTGTTAAATATGCAACAGAAAATACAAAACCAAAAAAAAAAAGACAAGAAAAAACAACAACGTAGTGCTTAAAAGAGAAGAAAAATTTAATAAAAAATTAATACGCTTTGCTAATCTGATGTGTGCATAAATGACAAACATAAAAACGCTTGTTAAACGCAAACCAGCACACATTGAAATAAATCAACACAAATGTATACCAACAGCCCACCTTAGCAGCACATACACAAATACGTACGCGTATGTGAATATGTGTGCAATGCTTATGAGGATAAGCGACATACACAAATGAGCATTACAAAGTGCGTTTACCGCTGCTTGCGTTGATGTCAATGACAATTTTTCTTGCTTTTTAATCCATTTAATACCTATAAACATGCATTGAAGTAGCAGAAAACTGTGCAAAAGATAAAGCACAGTGACAGAGGCAGCAGCATTGACAGAGAATGAGACGGAAATGAGTTGAGTAAGAGTTGAAGGCACATTCATGTATGTAGAAATTACAGTATTAAATACATTTTTCTGATTTAACCTCTGGCAACAATTATGCTCATGTCAACGCTTTTACATGCATACACTTATCTACTCACTCATTCACACACACTTACACATTACAAATTTTACTCGTAAGTGCACGCAACTTATATGATCATACGTTCATCCTTTAATACACAATTGTGTGCAATTTATGCATAAATAATAAAATTTAATTTGTCATTTTGCGAAACATTTCAGCCTTTTGTTTTTCTTTCGTTTTTGTTTTTGCCATTTTCAGTTTTTTATATCCTTTCTGGCTTAAAATTGTAATTAACTTGAACATATCCTTGCATCTTTTGAATTTTTTACTTTATATTTTATGCACAAAGATTTATGCTTGTTATTAGATTTTCTGAAAATATTAAAAATTTATAAAATCGAAAAAAAATTGAAATTTGTTTTGAAATTTGTTGGAAATAATAAAAAAATATTGCTTTTTATCTGAAAAATATATGTGAAAATTGCAAAGTAACAGCACTCGATGTGCTATAAAGGAAGCGCTTAAAATGTCCTGTGCTTTAGTGTTTTAAAGAAGAAAAGAGCAAAATGAGATAATCGAAAATTAACATTGAAGCTATGAGTAAATACTGAGATACTGAAAATCCAGTTTTTGTGGAAAATAGTATGAAAAAGAAAGTCAATGATAAGTATAGAATGTTGAGGTTTAGCAGATTTTCGTAATGTTTATATGAAAAATAGCATTTCAGTTCTTATATAACAAAGTTTACTCAAATTAATGACGATAAACCTCTGCACATAACTGCTGAAAAATTCTAATGTGAAAAAAATTTTAATATGATCAGATTTATTATTAGTCTTAAATGTTCAAAATCTGACCAAGCTGATCAAAAGATATCAGAGAAATGTATTTAAGACTTGGAACTCAAAAATCTGTTTACCATTCTGATAAACTTGTCTGCACCCAATTGAGGTACAACCCATCACCTTCACCATCAGCCTATCCCCTAATTTACGCTCCAGCTTTCTGGCTTAGATGAACCTAGGCATTAAGACTAACTGTTCACATCTCTCTCCTATGATTACTGGAATGAAGTGTCTTCTATGCTGTGGAAATCTTCTCCATTCATTCCTAAGTAGTGGTTTTATTGGGTTCAAGTTTCATACTGTGGCTTTCAATGCTTTCCATCAACTGCAAAAAACAAAAAAAAAATCTATTACTATTTTAATGTTAAGTTTAATGTTAAGAAAGAAATGTTGGGATCAGTTTTCGTAAAGCAAGTATGTTCAGAAAGTTATGTTAGGAAAGTCATCTTAAGTTCAGTTTATGTTAAGTCATTTATGTTTAGAAAGTTATGTTCAGAAAATTATGTTATAAAGTTAGGTTATGTAAGTTATGTTAAGAAATAGATCAAGAAAAAGATTTGTGTTAAAAAAATTTTAGAAATTGTATATCAGCGTCGTATCTTTAATGATATCAGCTATCATCACTTTCCCACGAAAAAGGTGAGATCGCACTAAAGGCTTTCATGCCACCCCCATCAAGATAGAAATCAACAACACTACCATTCAGATTATTGATTAACACTAGTACCTCGATGTTATGCTATTTTCTCAGCACAACTTCATCCGACTTCGCCATACAAAGCGCTAATTTTAGACATAAGCAACTAAAAATGCGATTCGAAAGCACGACCAGCTTATCTTTAACTTTAGTTTACAGTTAAGCTCCTAGCTATATACACCACCTTTCGTTATTATTTTCATACACCTATTCAACTTGGTCTGCAATAAGCTCTTCTGAAATAAAAAAAAATCCATCTTTTTGAACGCAAGGTCCCCTGTGATTGCACCACCTTCAATTGTAAGCCTAACAGCAAACACTTTCCCGACCCCGTCCTTTACAAAAAAGGTCAAGTTACTCACATCTACAAGTACCTCTTGTCGTTAGCACAAAAGTACCTCACCCAATTGAATAACCAACTCTTGACGTTTCAACTCCTAGCATCCCTCCCCTTTACCTATTGATAGCTATGGGCATCAAAAGCCCCCAATACTCCTCATCAACTTCCTGCAACCGTTACTCTCTCGACTCTGATTACGAAGTTTACAACTAAACCACCCCCACGCTTGCGCAATAACCTTACTTCCTTCGCTTACTCTTCTGGCTTAGATAATTTTGCTTAGATAGACTTCTAGTTACTAAGCCTCTTGATCCCAGCTCTCCCCCCTAATTATTTGAATGAGACACACTGCAGTGGAAGTCTTATTCATCCAAATATAATTTTGGTGGCATTTTGTATATATAGTCTTTCACTTGTTATTTTTAATTGCGAAGGAGAAATCTAAAGTGTAACTTTATATCACCGGGTAACAACCATAATTATACCACTAGATTCCCAGATTATACGAGTTTCTTAATAATAATTTATGTATTATATTTAAAAAACATTAATCATCTTTACGAGTACAGTTCAAATGGTGCATGACTTGCAGTTGTAAAACTAAAATTAAATTACTTGATTTTTTAAGGGAAAAAAATTTTAGTATACAACTATTAAATGAAAAAGATAGTTTCCACAAGAAAAATAAAAACTTAAATGAACATTTAAAAAAATGATAACATTTAAGGTGGAAAAAATAATGCGGTTTTTCCATAGCCGTATTTTTTGCCGTTTTTCCTAAGGTCTCCCAGTAGCACTGAGTAGCGTAATTATGCACAGAAAACATCAAGATAAAAACGGATTCCCCATTATGTCCTGGGAAGCAAGTAGTCGTTGGCTGAGAAATAAGTTTGTTCTCAAGATAAACTAAAAGTTAAACTCTCTGAATAAGTTTCATTGGAAGTTTTATTAAAACGTAGTAAAATCATTTTAAAATAGTTTACTTAACTGCGAAGGATTTCATGATTTTATTTACATTAATTTTTATTATTAACTTTTACTTAAATAATAATTTATGTAATGTTTAAAAATAACACAATGAAATAAAAAAATTATTGTAAAATTATATTAAGAATTATTAAAACCAAATTTTAAACTAGAGATAGCGAAAATAGAATTATCGAATCTTCTTAACTTTATCTAGAAGATCATATAATTCAACGCGCAAAGTATATGAAATTATTATGAAAACAGTGGTTAGAGAAGCTTGTCTCTCTCCGAAGATCTAAACATATCACTAACAAAAATAGATTTCTTCTAATAGAACTTTCCACAGTCGCCTGAACCATTGATCACGAGATACTTAGCAAGCTGAAAAACTTACGACAAAGTGTGTCTTACCTATGTTTTTGGGAGCCAAGCATTTTTAAGGCATTTCCACATGGAAAACTACAACAGCACTAAAATATATCGAATACATGTAAACTATTTGTGAAGTCAACCGGTGATTAAAAGCATCTACAGC